TTAACAATTATTTGAATGTTTCATATAAATTCATAAGTTCTTGTCAATAAAATTAACTTTCAGCATTACCATAAAAAAAAAATATAATTATTAATATTATATTTTGCAAAAATATTTTTTAAAAAAATTATTTTATTAAAATCAAAAAAAAAAATGTAATGCATAAACTTTAAAATAAGTTTTGCCTCAAATTGGTGGCAGGTTTTTTTTTTTTTTTTAATTTAAATAAGTAAAAATAGGTGGCCAATTTTGAATAGATCATGAAAAAGGCGGAGACATCATAATTGGCAAGCCAAATAATAAAAAAAAATTGATAATTATTAAAAACAATTAAAAATTAAAAAAAGGATATCAGTAAAAGCAGTAAATCCAGTTTGAATGATATGCTTGATAGACTATAAAATAGTGAATTTTGATACCAACACCATTTAGAGATGATGGGCTAACGGATAGCCTTTTGATGTTGTTCTTCCATTTTTGAATAACATAATAACTATAAAACGTACCAAAGATTTAAAATATACCAAATACCAAAGACTGAAAGGAAAAAAAATACTGTATTTGATTTTGCCATTGATTTATTATGCGACATTATGTGATATTATGCTATATTATGTTATATTATGCATAAAATGTAGTACATAGAATATAATAAACTATATATTCGGTAGTACTATTATATTCGATTAGAATGATAAAATCGTTTAGCAGACAAGACAATGCGTTATTAATAGGTTTATGTAACTTGGAAAACCCATTGTTCTTGCGTTCTTTTAAAATGATTGTACGACATACAGAAATGATCATCATCAAGAAAGAGATTTATTTATTTATTTTTTTTTCCTTTACCTCCCTTTACTGAATACTAAATTTGTTAACTATTAATAATTTTCTTATATATATTTCTATGTTAAACATTTTCCTATTATCATTGTTAAAATTGACGATCTTTATTCAAATGTTATTCTCCCGTGATAAATCTAAATTTCTTTTTGATTAGTGGCTTATGTATTTAAAAGTTCTATCCATCATGTATGAAATTAATATATAAACTAGAACATTATTATTATTATTCAATAATAATAATAATCCGAGATCATAGACAATCGATTGTTTGTCTTTTCTAATTTTGCACTAGCATTCTAATATTAATAATAGTTAAAGAGACGCGAGAACTTTCTAATTTTTGGTCATAATATTTATAAAACAAAAATTTCTCTTTGGGGTTTTGTGAAATAAAGGCAAAAAACATGAGAATCTATCAGAATAATGCATATATATGTACTACTGTAAATGCACCAACCACTTGTCATAGTAAAAAATAATAATGACAATAATAATTAAAACAACTTAGATTTCAAGTTTATCTGTTTTCTTTAACATTTTAATACTTATTTTAAGGATAAGACCATGCCTTTTAAAAATTTCAATTTTTTTTTAAAAGTAAAGGGAACATCATTCAAGTGACGCGTCCCAAATATAGTCATATTAATAAAAAATAAGTTTATCTAAAATAAATGATTTTACATGGTCAATGCGTTAATACATCTTTCAGGATAAAATTTTTTCGCCAAGAAGAATATCATTTCCTAGATCATGAACAATATTTAGATTGTGAATTGAAAGCATGATTTGTTGTGTCAAGAAATAAATGTACAATTCATTTCGTAATTTTATACATTCCTTTCTTTTTTTTCAGAAGCAAAGATTTAAAGGTTTTAAATCTCGAAGTTTGATATAATTTAAACTATTGATTTGACCATACATTATTCTAATTTTATTTTTTAATTTAAGCAAAAAATACTAAGAGTTATTATACAGGTTAGAATTAAAATTGTAAAAGAATAGCCTGAATTTTTTTTTTCTGCTAATTCTTTTACACGAGATTATGCATCAATAGATCATTGAATTAGGTCAAGTTCTCTAATGTTGTGCTTACGTCTTGAGTCAAAAAGTATCCTATTAAAAGCAACTGTATTGAAGATTACGGAATCAAAGCCACAGCGCATATTTTAGCATATACACTATTGCATAGATGGGTGAGTTTTATATATGATATCATGTAAATCGGAGTTAATGGATCAAAGTAGTTACGGCAATGTTGTGATGGTTTCGATATTGTGGCATCAATATAGACCTTAAAATGGTATTTATCTTTCTTCTTTTTTTAATCATATACAAATTAATTGCATAATATGAAGTTGTAAATAATGAAAGCTGGAGTAATTTTCTTGTTTAATTTGTTTGATGGTACAAATTATAGGTGTTACGTATACCATAATTCATTAAGAATTAAAAATTGTAGAACAATGTACAAATAAATAATTTTAAACAAGGAAATTTCTTGCGTAACAATTTCCGACCATTAAAGATTTTAAAGGATCAAGAATTAATTTTTCCCCACGAGTTATTTATTTACTTATTTCAATTGTTCCAATTGTTTCACTATAATAACGGTTAAACAAATTAAAATTCCAGAAAACTTGGAAAATATATTGTCAATTACTTGTTGATAAACATTAAAGTTTAATTACGTATAAAACTCTATCAAAGAAAATAATAAAAAATAATTGATAAAGTTTAAATCATCCGAAGACCTAGTTAAAATAGAGACTGTGCGGAGTGATACAAAATGTATTATTTTAATTCTAAATGTGATCATATGATAAAGAGGATAAAATTTGGATAATTAGCCTCTCCGATCCAAAACAAAATATCGGCGGTCATGGTCAAAGTATACTTGGAAATAATTTATCTATATAAGGATTATCTTTTGATCTTGAGATCAATATAATTTAATTAAATTATGCCATTGTAATTAAGTCATGCCATTGTGTATGAATTGCTTATTTATTTATTTATTGATAATGTTCTTACTAATCAAGAATAATATGACAAAGGGCAATAAATATTTTTACATCTTCAATTATCAATAATTATCAGATAAACTTATTCCAGAGAATTTTCTTCATTTTTGAATAGATATATATATATATATCGTGGTGTGACAATTATTAAGGCTGATAACTTGTGGGGGTGCCTCATTGTTTTCTTTGCCAACAATTATTATTGAATATTAGATCCTCCTGAATTAGTTTATGGAGAAACAAGATTTTTATTTGGAGCTTGCGCAGTACGATTGCGCGATTTCTTTAGCAAATTCATGACGCGTCAAAGGTAAACGGTTTCAATTTTCAATTTCAATTCAATTAATTCACTTAAAAAAAAAAGAAAAGTTTTTTATCATTTAATGTACAGTAAAAACTTTCCTACCCAGTTTTTTTATTTAAATTGTTTTTTTTTGTCTTTTTAAATTTTTTTAAATTTTTTTTTGTTTTTTTTTTGCTTTTTTTTAAAAAAATATGTACTGACAAACACATTGAAAACGTTTACAAACCAATACCCATAAAAAATTTGTATAAAGAGATATATATAACATTTAATATAATCCAAATTATTTTTCAAGACAATATAAAATAAATCAGCTGCTCCTTCTATAAACTCTACACCTAATGTCTTTGACAAGTTACTTCTTTACATATATATATATATATATATATAACAAGTAACTAAGTTTCAATAATTGAACTATATGGTGGACAGATAATAAGAAATGAAGATAAAAATAAAACTGTTGGTACAAGATATAATATATAAGTCAGGAATAAAAGAAAAATAAAAGAAAAAATAAGGAAAAAAAAAGAAAGAGGAAAATAAAATAAATGAAAAATAAAATAAATGAAAATAAAAGGAAATAAAGAAAAATCAGAGAGAACAAAAAAAATAAAGAAAAGCAGAAAAAGAAAAGTTGTGGCATAATTGATAAATGTATAAATAATATATACATCAAATATATAAAGGACAATTGAATAATAAAAATAATAATTCATAAAATATTTTTATTTAATCATAACCCATAACTCAGATTAGGAAGAGAAATGAATTAATTCATAAATTAAATATATATAATTACTAATAAACCTTAAGTAAATTTTAACAAAATTGTTTATAGAGAGTAAATAATTAGAGATTACTCAATTGTATATATTTTGTTTTTTTTTTGTAAAATACTTAAAGTTTCCTTAACTTTGAATTTCAAGAAGAATAATAATTTCTTAGATAAAAAAAAAAAAAATCCATAATGGATAATGTTTTGAAGTTAGGTGAATATAAAATGTAAAAATTCAAGGCACTATAAAATAAAATAGAATATAAAACTCAAGGTACTATAAAAATAAAATAAAATAAAATATTTTTAACGAATATTGGTTTGTTAAAGAATATAATGTGTTTGAATAAATTTTTTGGGGTAAAGATCGTTCTTTTGTTTAAAATTTTTATAAGAAAAAAAAAAATAAAAAGGGACTTCTACTGCATCTAGAAAAAGAAGAGAAAAAAAAATAATACAAAAAATATAATGACGGATATACATTGAGGAACCAAAATAAAGGAAATAAAAAATAGATGTGAAAAAATTTAGTCAAGGTTTCACTATATTCTATTCAAATATTTCTCCTCATTTCGAAATCTCCTTAATGCGCGTCGTCAATGTGGTTCGTTTATATTTTTTTATAGAAAATATAAAGGAGGGGTTATATGAATACAAGAGTAAAAAAAAGGAATGTGACCTTTTTTTAAGGGGAAGGCTATCTACAATCTATACCAGGAATCCTTATTTCCCGTTTAAAAAAAAAAGAAAGTAATTTTTTTTCTTTAAGCGTGAAACATAATTCGATGGGCAAAGAATTTTTTTTTTACGAAAAATCATAAAAGAAAGAGAAACGAAATTAATGTTTAAGATATTGATACAAATTATAGATTGATGATATTTGGGAAAGGTTATATATATATATAATGTCGATAAGTTGATGAGGAATTTTTATAAGAATCTCTATCAAAGAGTTCGCTAATAATGTAATAAGGATATATTTTTATACTTAAAAAAAAATGAATGATATAAAAATTTCTTCGTTATTTCATGAAAAATAAAAAAATTTATTTTAATAATTAGATTCATCAGAATCCGAGGAATAAGTAGGAGAATAAGTAGAAGAATAAGTGGGAGAATAAGTGGGAGAATAAGTGGGAGAATATTCGGAGCTGACTAGCAAAGGCAAATCAGTAGTTCTAACTAAAACCGGGCGATATCCTTCCGGGATCCAGAAAATTTGACCACTAGTGGTATTACAATTAATGCGTTTAGTCCTCGTTCTTAAAGGTTGATTAACCGGAAAGGTTTCATTATTAGGTGAGGGTGGTGGAATAACAAGGACTTCGTATTCCATTGTGGCTTTGTTGGAGTTGGTTTTTACGTTTGGAGCAGGCATTTTTTATTCGTTTCTTTGACAAATGTATTTGTTGTGGTGGTTATGAGAAAAGGGAAGCTAATGGCTTTCTTTATGAATTTTATTTTATGAAAGTTAATTAGAATTCCTTTTCTTTTTTGGTGAAAGGGATAACTACTATTTTAAAAATAGTAGTCGTCGTTCAGTTAACAGAATTTTATTCTCTGAATTGAATTTGGTGAAAAAAATCCTTTCAGAAGAATTATTTGACAAAGAAGAATAAAAAAGATTATTTATTATGCTTTACAATAAAATTTTTATAAGACTACAAGTTGTACCAAAAACTTGAGTTAGTAACGTTAGAAACAAAAAACGATGAGGTTTATATAACTTTTCCTTCAACAAAGGACGATTATTTTGATTTGTTGGTTTTACAATGTTTGAAAAAAAAAATCTTTGTATAATTTAACAACAAATACATTATTTATCCATGCAATATAAAAAACCAAGTATTATTTGTTATTGTTACAGTACCCCTTATATTTTACTCAATATTCTACTTTTATAATAATAATTGCATAAAATCGGTTTGATAATATAATTATTTTAAATGAATAATAGCATTGATAGTTTATTTTCATTTATAATATAAATTTATTGTTTGTGTGGCTTGCATATCAACCGTACTTAGTCAATAATTTTTTTTATTTATCTAAAATAATTAAAATAACTAATTTTTTATGGATTTCGTTTTAATTATTAAACTTTCATTAAATGCTAAGACATTTATAGATAAATCTAGTATAAAAAAATTTATCTGCTTTATCAATAGTTTAATTAATTTCCTATTCATAAACTAATAATAACGATATAGATATGCTTTGTTTATATTTTAAATATTTAGAATTTTAGGTTTTATAATTATCTAACTTGGTGTGTTGTTTATTTAGTTAATTTAGTTAATTTAGTTTAAAATTTAAAATGACGACTGCCCCTAAGTATTTAATTTTCTTTGCAAAGTGTTACCATTTTCTATTTATGGGAGACAGGTGGAAGATTTGAGAAGAATTTATTATCATCATTAGAATGACCCAATATATTTTAACAACAGCATGTACATATATTTTTGATTTTCGTAATGTAATAATATTACAGTTTCTTTTTCATTTTTTAAAACAATACAAAATCATTATAGCGCATAAATCATGCATTAAGATTTTGATTATTTATCATTATTTTTATCTCACTATAATGTAATTAATACAATAAATACACAAATTTTGCTTATTTACTGTCTATGTTTAATAATTAGTTAGTGTTTATGTATAGAAAACGAGTGAATTAAGCATGGAAACTTAAATTTGAAATGGGAATATTAAACAATCGAATTTTAATTTGAATAAAAAATAATAATAATAAATGAAAATAACGTTATTTTTTTATATTCATAAAAATACGGGTATATGCGTGTGCATGTGCTGTAATTAAGCGTGAGCAAAAAATTCTAAACGAGATAATTTAGAGTATTAATAGTTTTTAATAATATTTAAGCTCATTTAGAGTATATACATATTTTTAACATTTAGCTCCTAATTATCATTAATACTTCTTAAAATTGATTTTTTTTTGTGCGTGTATATCATGCACTGAAGTTCGAGCAACAACGCTATACCTCATCTACGAAACATCCATCCTCCTTACATTATTTAAAATTTTGCGGGGAAGAATGAATCGTCAAATTATGATGAGACAACATTTCAAACAATTATATTACACAAGCAACATTAACAAAGACAAAAGAGAAAGGATTTCAGACAATCAAATTTATTGTGTTGAAAATAAATTATCAAATAATAACTTAATCTGATGCGATTATTCTTAATCCGAGAATAAGAAATTATGTAAAGAATACACACTAAAAAAATTTTTGAAATACAATCTACTCTTTTCTATGAAATTCAGGTTAGCAAGGTAAACTCTGAACAATAGTGTAACATTGAAAGGAATGCTGTATTACTTTCTTTATTTATGCTTTCCGTTATCTTATTGTCATTAATCTTTGCTAAACGAAAAAAAATCTTTAACTAACAATTAAATTATACGATTTATATTTTCTTATTACAAAGTATAAACTAATTTAGAACAGTTTTTTTTTGATTGTTCTAAGTATAAAAAATGATATGGAACAGGGTTTTTTTTAATTGTTCTGACAAATTTGCCTATTTTTTCATTATATTAATGATATAAATGTAAATAAACTTATCCATTGAAAGATTTAATATTTATAAGTAATTGTTTCAAACAAACAAAGACAGATTTTTCGGCTGATCTAAGTTTATGATTTATTAATTTTGTAAACTAGTAAACCAATAAATAATGCATAAATTAGGTAATGCCTAAACTAGGAATAATGCCTAAACTCAAATGAATAATCATCACATCCTTAAATTTTACTTTATTAAATAAAAGAGGCAAAGAGGCGCTTCAAGCCACTAATTAAAAACTATCGATTATTAATACACGTGATCTAATTTGGGAAATTACATTTGCAGGAGTTAACAACTGATGATACAATAATGTGGTAATAATATTAATAATATTTACCAAAGAATTATTTTTACTATTTAAAGTGTTCTGAAAATAAGTTACTTTTTTATGGATTTTAAGCAATTAATATAAATAATTAATATAAATAATTAATAATTAATTTACTTTTTAGAAAGCATTTACTAGCTTTTGCTGGTCAAAATAGTAATAAATAGAAAATCCACTTTCTAGTAAAAAAAAAGGAAGCCATTCTGATTTTTTTGAAGTAATTTTTGAAGTAAAATTTGAAGTAAATTTTTCGTAATATAATGCTCACTTTTTTTTGTATTATTAAATTCACATGATCCATTACGCACTAGCCAATTTTTCATTTATTTTTAAGTCCCTACCCATGATCGTATTCAAACATATGAATTTTTCAATAAACTTCAATGTTTATTATTTTTAATTGTTTACAAATGGTTAAACCAATAAAGTCAAATAAAAGCTTAACAACTAAGTTTATTATGTTATAATAATAATATCTTTTTATAATTTGATAATTAAAAATGCTTATTCCCATAATTATGAACAAATGAAGAATAAACAATAATTATTACTGTTATTATTATTATTGACGTGAAGAAAAAACAAAGTCAAATGTGACATTTTATTATTGGACATTTCGCTATTATTTTATTCCATTCTTTGTACTATACTATAAATCATGTTTTATTCATTCATATTTGACACTTTATAAGGGGTTGTTTCATCCGTTTAGAAATTGATAACGATGTTTCTTTTCAATTCAGATCATTTGTTTCCATTAAATGAATTGTCTTTTTTTATTTGCTAATTAGAAAACAAATGAAACCAGAATTTTGTTCTTTGACAAACAATCTAAATTCGCAGCTTTACTGTATAGGTCAAATGATCTAAATGATCTTATCAAAAAATAAAACTCATTATTAATAAATAATTAATTATTATTAATAATCAACTTGACTAATCACAGAAACAATCTGTAATATTCTAATATTCTAATTTTACTAACCCATAAAAACTTAACAAAAAACATTACGTCCTCTTTTTATGTAATATTAATTTATACTTGCCAATATTTTACGTGAATATTAATAGTAAATAATCAACCGGAATTTTTTAATTCATTTAAATAAGTTGTATTAGTCAATTTAGGAATTTGGGATCTCTGTTTCCGTGTTACTTGCGGAGAGAACTTCATTAATGTGTAACATTATGTATTTATTGATATTAAATTATAATAATTAAGTTATACGAAATGTACCATTATTTGGGGCATGCTGCAGGGGTAAATTTAGAGATTAGAATTAAAAAAAAAATATTTTATCATTGATAGTTGTTTGATAAGCAAAGTTAAAATTAACTTAATACAGTATATGATAATTTTGTTAATTTTCTAATGTTCCCGAAAAGCAGTAATTTATCGTGATTACTTTAATTACTTATTAGTTTTTGATTGTTTGAATTTGAAATTCTCAAAGTTTCGAACCCGATTCAATTTTCTCATTGATTTTCGTTATTCTTTATCCCACGGAAAGAAATTGATAATTTTATTACTATAAAGCATGTTGTGAAGGTTAACTACTGAACTCCTGAAATATTATCTGCCATAACACAAAAAAAAAAAGTCGAAAAAAAGATCTTTGTTTCGAGAAGTGGGGTGGCAAATTATAAAATCGATATATTAAGAGAAATAGAACAATATTAACAGTAAATTTTTTTTTCGACAATCCATAGCTTATATTGGCTTGTGTAATTAAATTTTATTACGAGAATCCAAAGTTGTTGACATCACGCAAACTCAATATTAACCTTTCATAATTTAAAGTTTAACCTAATTTTAATTTAATTTAAATTTAATTAAATTAAATTAATTTTAATTTAATTTAACAAAATATAGATGTTTATAATTGATCTACAAATTGTTTACAAAGACAATCCAACAATAATAAATCTGAGATTATTTTGGATAAAATATAGGAACAATAAAGAGGAGATTAGGCAATATTATTCATATATTAATGATATATAATATTTAAATAAATGAATAAACGAATGTTGGAAATAATCTCAAACAATTAGGATGTGTGTTTACTGTTATAAAGAAAACAATATCAAATACCATGACTCAAGTGTGGCTTATACAAAGATTTTCTGTATGCATTCATTGTTATTATTTTAAGATTTAATATGTCGTTTCATCAAATTACGATTATTATAATGATAATATTGATTTTAATAATATTAAGTCCTGGTAATATTGAATAAATATAATTCTTACATCTTATTACTGTTGTATTTTTGATAAATAAAGTGCATAATGTAATTACCACCTAAAGAAATATATTAATATATTAAATTAACATAATGAATGTCAGATTTTATAATACACAAAGGAAAACAATGAATATTTATATATGTATATAATATATGCTAAAAGATTATATTTTTATTATTATAGTTATTTATAACCG